GACTGTTGAAAGGTGTTGGCATATAAAATGGGTACATTTTCATTCAACTATATTTTGGTTGGAAAAGAAATACATCGTATTGCTTAGGGTTGGCGTATTAGTCCATACATATTGCAATACATATTTGGGCCCAAATTATATATAGTTGTACTGTTCAAATGGTTCTTCTTCATTCAAAAAAACAGACTTGACCGATGTCTAAGAGTCCACTGTTACCTGCTAAAACAACAAGGTCCTAAATAAACAGAGGTCCTGGGGTCCATGAGGTTAGCTCCTATAGTATTTCAATCTAGGTACCGACCCGTGAAGATCCGGGGTAGAATAGATCTTCAGCAACCCATGCTTGTCGTAAGAGGCGACTAACGGGATGGGGTGGTCTTGGTTGATGCATGTCATTGTAACCCAATTCCCACTAGATGGTCTGGTCCAGACTTGATCATTAACAGACTGCTGTCATATAGATGGAATATTGCTGAGTCAGTGTTAATCAACAACCAAATAATCTAGGTACCCTTAAATTTTACACATTTAAAATTAGGGTTAGCGGCCCTTGCACTTTCATGCTTAACTCTAACACTGTTAACATATTTGCGACAGAGTGAAAGGCCTGTCATCTACAGTGGGTTTAAGAGTGTTTGTCATGCTACGAGTTGGGCTCACCTCCAGCTCGAGGCCACATCTTGTACACTTCAGTATGTGTTGCATTACCCCAGACATTGATGTTCATAATGGCTTCATGGAGCAAGCTCCATATTAAAGATTGATTTCCATCAACAACCTGATGACAGAAACAAGTCAGAACTTCCTCCACAGCCACTTATTCTGCCTGATTACACTGGAGACCACCTCATGTGATTTAGTGTTGTTCCCCCTGACTAAATCACTAGATAATAACACCCTTAGAGTGCTGCTAACGCAGTGGAGACATGAGAAACAGACAGTTCTTAAAATGACAACTGTAATTTGTAAGAAGCAGTGACTTTGCTAGAGACCAGAGACCAGAAATAATTTTATAACACAATAAGACAGTCAGCATGGTCAGGCAGGTGACCCACAAATGTTGCCTGCCCATCTTCCTCCCAAGTTACCGGCCCACATTCAGATAATATTAAACTTAAATGTAACCTTGCGTACTTTTTTTTTTGCCCCTAAGAAGTATTTCTGATTATGTCTTAATATCTATCCCAATACACTAAAATTAAGACCAGATTGACCAAATGAAAGCATAGTTACTTTCTTTCATCAACCGTTAATAATGGATCACCAATAACAGTATGTGAAAAATCACGAAAATTAAGAGACAAATTGCGTCTTGATTCATTTGAAATAATACAAACAATTACTTGGTGGAGGCAAATTTTATACACCCTGACAGAAAAGTCACCAGCCGCAGGAAGGCAGACAGGCAGTTATTTTGGACATTGCTTGAGACAAATCGCATTAGGACATTCCCATGCTATGATAGGACATTCTCCCATAGTTTAAAATAAAGTCAGTTAATGTCCAAAAAAAAATTAACCAAAATTATAATCCGAATAGCAATTACCATATATAAAAAAGATCAACGTTCACTACAATACTCTCTGTACACACAAGCTTAGTATGTTCCCAATGCTGATCTGAAGCTGTGGAGGCACGTCAAGTTGAAGTGTGGCACAGGCCCCCAAGCGGGGCACCAGTGGGAATAACACTTCAGTACAGGTATTCAATGACCTAAATGTGTCCAAGAACCTATCAACTGATTTGCTGGAATATTTATCATCAAACCAACTAGTTGGAAACTTTTTTCCAATCGGCTAAAAGCCCTGTTATCAAATAACACCCAGACATCTTGCCAGACAATATCATGTACAGAACACATTTGATCAGCAACACTAACCTTCTCTCAGTCATTCAAGCAAACAGTTATCCAATAACGTAAATTAGGGGGAGGGGGCAATTCACAAAGTTTATAGAGGCTCTGGACACACCAGTTGAAAACACTTGCGTCCACAGCCCAGGATTGATCAGTCAAATGTCAGAGGTCCTTCTACTCGGCCACAAGGTGGAGGAGATATATATATTGATCACAGGGGAACAATTGATTGAGTTGCATTGGTCTTGATCACTGACCAAGTGAGGCTTCCGTAGTGGACATCCCCAATATCAATGGCTGGAAACACCTTACATTAAACATTCTAAAAATTATTTCCATGTATTTCGGATCCACTGAACTGATGATGTCCTGATTTCAAAAACTATATGAAATAATAAATAACTATAACAAATGTTATATTTGGGAGAACACATTTTCTTCGTTAAGTACAGCTTCTCATACTTTTTGGTTGAGTCCCATCCAGGATTTGAGTCCACACTGACAGAGTGAGGCACCTAATAGCAATCTAACCCACTCAGCCACCCAGGCTTCCACAAAATGAAAGTCTGACAACTGGTAGTCCAGATTACGTACTTTGTGTACCCCTCTGGCAATCGCTGACTTTGTGTGCTGGCAATAAGGTGCCTCACTCTGGCAGTCTGGGTTCAAATCCCACATGGGACTCAACCCAAACAAATACGAGAATCTGTACTTTACTAAGAAAGTGTTATCCCAAATGAAACATTTGTTACATTTGACCACTTTCTAAATGGCATTGTGTGTTAATAAATAACTATTCAAGAACATTATAGTGATGTATTTTATTACGTATAGCGCAATTCTTTCCAAAACATACAGCTGTGTGGAGGGGAAAACACATAATACAATGAGTTTCAGTTTGTTTTGGGACCATGAGCATATAACATATGAAACAGCATGTCAACAAATCCATACTGAAATATGCAAGCTGGTCCTGTTATTACACTATCTACTTAGAAAAAGTGTTGCATAATTTTTCACTCAAACACACACACACACACAACTTTCATTAGCTAGGACTTTACATCTCCGACTGTGGTGGCAGTTGCCAAAATAATTACGCCTTTTGTAGGCTTGGTAGATAACAATAGCATAAGCCTAATCACTTGACAAATATTGATAAACACAAACCACATGATGTCACACATATTTAAACATGTTAAAGTAAAATCATGATTATGCATCAGCAGTAATCAGAGATCAACAAATCAACCACCTGACACCACTTCATCCCATATTTACATCTTCAGAAAGCCATTTTCTATTTCATAACAATCAACTCAAAGACTTTAGGCTGAGCTGGAATAAATCATCGACCACATCACAGGGCAGTATCAAATATTAGCAAACATATTTCACAGAATATGCCAATGAGAGATAATGATGATCATTTCATGGCTAGCATTCTATATTTAACATCCTTTTGAAGGGTATTTCAGTTATGTTGATCATGGTGTGGGTCGACTTGATGTTGGAAGGTAGTACAAGGTCCTAGCTGTTTACTACTCTAATGAAAGCGTAGTTACTTCCTTCCATCCACCGTTAATCATGTTATTAATAGATCACCCACTACAGTATGAGAAAAATCACAGAAAAAAGGAGAGAAAAATCGTGTCTTGGTTCATCTGAAATAATGCGAAGATAGGCATGGTGTAGACAAATCTTATTCACAACCAGGTCGTTTCCAGGATTCAAACCCTTAGATCATCAGGCCCTGGCCCTAAGCATGCTGAGGGACACAACTCTTGTCAGTGAAGTACACCACCTCAGACAACTGGGCCACCCATACCCATGTTAAATATCACTAACTTCATGATTTTGTTCTTCTTTCGCTAAAATATTGTTAGATTTTACCCCATGTTTAGCAAATCAAATGGGTTGCTTGAGATTGGCTGTGATGTCAGACAAGCTACAAGTACAATGATTAGGGAACAATTCAGGTACGATTTTGCTCACAATAGACCATGCCTACGATCGTCTACAGTCTGCATTCAGCCACTAGTCCAAAGCGTGAGACAGTAAAAATGTATATGACCTAATACAATCACTTTAGCAGCTGAGAAAGTCCATGTTTACAACTCAAAAGAAGTAAAAGAACACCCTCTTCTTTCATATTACCGTAGATAATCAGCCAGGGCATGCATAACAGATAAATGATAGTAATATGAAAGAATAGTGTGGGCCTGAACTTCTTTTGAGTACCATAAAAGAAACTTAAGCATATTGATCAGAATCAGATACAACAAGACTCAGGAGATGACATATTCCCCCAGGTCTGGTGCAGTTCGGAAGTGCAGTTTTGCTACTTATACCCACTTTCAGTTCATTGCCATTGGATACCTTCAGTTCAGTGAATAAATAATGCTGTTCAGTATTTTTCAAAATCCCAAATCACCAATAGGCACAAGTTCACAAGAAATATTCAACAGTTTTAGAGTTCTGCTCCTGAAACGTGCACTACCCTCACGTCCAAATAGTCATCATGAAAACAAAAATAAAAAAATCCCAAATCACCAAAAGGCACTAGTTTACCACTAAAGTGATCTATATGGCAAGTTTCATAAAAAAATATTTAACTGTTTTTGAAAGAAGGACTACCCTCATTTTCAGTATCCCAAAGTCAAACTTGTTGTCATGAAAAAACATTGTAGAAATTTGCAATACTGAGTATCCCAGCAAAAAAAGAAATCATGCCCACACTGACAAAACAGTGGCTCAAACAGAGCAAAGATAAATGCATACAGGAATTTATCTAGACTTGATAGAGGCCATTATCTGGCAAAAAAAATCCAAATTGGAATTAATCATTTCCCAATTCATGCTGTTATAGGACCAATAAACATCTGAAATTAGGAAAATTGTAACTATAACAAATCCAAAGTAAAAAGATGCCAAATCATTACATCCCAAAATAAAGATTTTTCCCAATGTACCTGCAAAGGACACTTAGTTTGGAATGATAGTTCGATGATCTACAATCAGCATGATTAGCCAGGGCTAAGGAAAGTTTGATCTATTGCGGAAGTCACTCCCCCATTACTGGGGTAGAAATGGGCTTTGATGGTGAACTTAACAAGTGCATCTTTCAGAATATACAAGTACCTACCTTTAACATTGCTCGAGGCCCAAGACATGTTCTTATGACATCTGCAATGGCCTGAAACAAACAAACTTACAGCTTCAGTAATATGACAGACAAGCACAATTATTTACGTTAGATGTATATATAGGTCATTACTATCGATCATTCCTGAGAAGACTAAACAAGATTCTAACTTGATGTTCAAAGGATCACAGACTCATCCTTGATAGTAATGAGATCACATACTGGGGTAGAGCGGAGATCTATGGAAGATGGTAGTGGTTAGTGCTGGTTATCACTCTGCATATTCATATCCATAATTTGGGTTCTCGGGACAATCAATATTCCATTGAAATCGCTTATATCTCACCATGAAATAAATATATCTGTTGGTGACAGTACGCTTCAACAGAGTTGGATCCAGTAAGTGAAGCTTTCAGACTCAGTACTGATAACTAATAAATAACATTCAATGAAGCTATCCAGAATAATAAAGATCAGCGTAGGACATAATTATGGACAAAACAAGCTCTAATTTTCAATGTATGTGACATGAACTAAACATGGCTATCACCAGCTCATCAGTGTTTTGTCAACGGGCTTTATTTTACGAAACATGAGAGTCAGAGGGGACCAGTGAAGTATTTAACAGGGCTATTGGAGACACTGACTTAGCGCAATAACAAGTCATTAAATGTGATCTCACAGGAATTGTAGTTATTTATTTGCATTTGAACTTGTGTACAACTCATACCATGTGGACCATTCATGTTGTGCCCAGTAAATTGCAGTCTCATAATATTTTATTTCACATACCATATCGACTATACTTTTCCACAGATTGATATCGTTTTGACTTCCGAGTTCAATCAATTGACAATTATTCAAGCGATTGCTCCAGCACTTGTAGTGATGTTCCAATAATCAATTTAATATATCCCAATGCTAAGGCTAGAGCTTGTTAAATCTCATTAAAATCTGATCTATTACTCTCATATGGAGCCTCTCTGCATGAAGAGGACAATGGTGTTCCTATTAATTGATTAAATATATGGCAAACAAGGACTATGCTTGTTGAATCTCATTAAAAGAAATCATGCATCCTTTATATAGATTTTGTGGTCCTTAGTTCCCTCCGCAGCTTTCTCCTCTTACCCGTTCAAAGGAATGTTTTACTCAGTAATATAGTAATCTAAAGGTATTAGCGAAAGTGCTCACTGACTTGTGTATGCTGTCCCTACAACATGTAGATGATTGACAGACAGGAATTTGTAAAAAGGCTGACATTCAAATGGAAATACTCAGGATCAAAATGGGTTACATTTGGAAAAATCATATTTTACAAGCAATGTCATGATATATCTGTACCCATGACATCCCTTAAATGCGTGTATGCACATGATCTCATCACCTCATTATAAAGCGAGTGTTTGCATGCATGTTTCCAGTAGCTTCCACACTTAAATAACAGTGGTTAGTTAATTTATATTGGAATAAATGATTCAACGTCCTAACTGCGAAATACGAACAATAGTTGAGGTCCTATTTGGGCAGGTAGTGAGTAATAAGCCAAATTCGGAATGTTCTGGAACCGTCTCCATGTGCTCGGAATGTCAATGGCGATCACCATATAGAAACACGCGACTCACCTTTCCTGCATTAATGTTGCCCAACTGGACCTTCCGGCCGGATTCTCTTCTTGTGTTCTGGTCTGAAAGGAAGACAGGACATTAATTTAACTGATGACACAAATCTAAACTTCATATACAACAAAATGTCAAAGGAATTAGTACATACTTAGCACTATAATCGCCGGCATGGTTTCGGGTTGTGATATTAGAATGAGGCTACAATGTGCGAAGCGCCCCCTACCAACGGGGGTAAACAACTCTAGTTGTATTGTTGATAATGTCCCTTTGATCAACCCGACTACAAGAAGCGTATTAAAATCATCGCAGCTGTTCCGAACATATTTGTGAACGTTGTCATCACCGCTGTATGAGTGGACAAATGTACATAAAATTACAGTGACTGATTTCCCTTGACACGCTTTTATTTCCGACTCCAGAATAGATCTAATGCAAATATATTTTATCTGACAAGAAACAACATGAAGATGTGTTAACAGATTGTTTGCCTACCTTTTCGATCACTCACTCTTACTCGCTAGTACGTTGATTAACTGAACAATGGTTTCAACGGACCCTGCAAGAAAGAAACACACTATATGGAATACTTTCTTCTTGCTTTGGTATTTACCCTGTCACGATCTTTTTTCGATTAACGACCATTTTATGCGTGGAGATATTTCGTCTCTGTTTATCCAAAGCTTATCACGAGGAAAATATGATTTGTTTTCGTATACTAGTCTCCCATTTATATAGACACACTCAATATCGTCCGTGAATACATTTAACTAACACATGTGCATGTCTATTTAAACTTTTTTGATAGTCTCATATTTGTACATTGATAATTGTTCTTGTTTTTCAACTAAATGACCCTATGACGTAACTATCCTGACGGCGCTTCTGGCTTTTTTCCATGTGTATTCTGGTATCTAATTAGTAGTGTCAATAATTCTTCAGGCTGTCTGTTGTCGTTTGCGCCACATAGTCCCAAGATAGCCTAGCCCATACATCGAATATACAACCACATAAACAATGTCGTTTAATTGTATGGGGCAAGTTTAATGCAAGGTTAAGCAAGCAATTTACGCCTCACGTGGTGTTATTCTGTTAAGATATACACTGATTGAAACAAAATACAAAACATACCAATGTAGCGTATGAGAGCGTACTACTGCGTTCAGTTAATCAGTGAATTTGATATACTTCCCAAGAACATTTTGTTTGGTTTTTTTTAAAACTTTTCCTGATATAGAATCCGTGGCGATTTCGGGTAAGAACGTAGGTTCCAAGCAACCCATGCTTGTCGTGAGAGCTGACTAAATGGATCGGGTGGTCAGGCTCAAAGACTTGGTTGATTGCATGGCATCGTATCCCAATTGCGTGGATCGATACTCATGTTGCCAATCACTGGATTGTCTGGTCCAGACCTGATTATTTACAGACCATCGTCATATAGCTGGAATATAGTTGAGTGCGGCGTTCAATAACAAACGTCAGCTTATATAGACTCCCCAATTAGAAGACTTCCTATAAGGACTTATATACACAACATAAAGACTTATATAGACTCTATAAATGATATAGGCTCCATAATAACTTTTATTGGTGCGCTGTGTAAAAGCCTACAAAACCTTCTTTTTTTCAGTTTTAACTTTGAGTTATATGTTTTCAACAAAATTACACGAATTGCCAAATGTTATAATACACCCCTCTCCCCTAAAGGGTGTATCCTCACTTAATTTGTGGATATACTTGGCAACACATGCACTGTTGATGTCTGATCTGAATCAAACGCTAAAATAATTTAATCTGCAAATTTCTATAAAATTAGGGGCGGATCCAGGGTATTAAATAAATGGGGAGGGGGTCAACTTTGGCCATTTATTAATAATTTTACTTTAACAACCAAATCGACGTGTCATGGTAGGAAATGAGGATACAAACTGTCATAAGATGTTTTAAAAAAGAGGGTGGCCACACCTAGATGACCCCAACCCCCTCCCCAATCTGGATCCGCCACCTATGTGCGTTGTGTCTATACAAACACACCTACAGCATGTATATACCCCCAGGGAGGTGTTAGCCAGTATATGTGTGCCCTCAGTATCTATCGGCGGACGAGAAGGCTGCGTGGCCTTTGGCTTCAGTCGGATAGTGGGACATTCTATTTGCTTAGAACCTCTCTGTCAGCCCGACCCCTGGCAGGACCAAGCATCCCCATGTACTCAAACCTCTGACGTGATGTTGATCTCGCCTGTAAGTCCACAGCAAACTCCTGTAGCCTTCTATCCTCCATTACCCCAATATATTGTTCAAGACGATGTAACGATGCTGTGGTCTTATACCAGCACTCGGACCGTCTCGACAGTTAATTCAATTTACTGAATACATGTCATCGCAAGAAACATGTATGTCTCTAGATTTTATATTACAGATTTATAATCACGTGCCAATAGTGTAATACAAAAACAAACAACGGCATTATTATTTGTTTATTTGTTGTTTAACGCCGCATTAGCAATATTCCTGCTATATGTCGGGGCCTGTAAATAGTGCTGTCTGTCAGACGATCCAGTGATTGATACTATGAACAATGTCCCATGCCGTCGGGGTACAATGACACGCAATCAGTCTCCGAGCCGATCCTTAGACGCCTCTTACGACCAGCAGAGGGGGCAAGGGGCCACTTCTCAGTCCCCACGGTTTCCCGATTTCGTCGCCTCTTACGACAAGCAAAGGGGTGTTTGGGACATATTCTAATGAAACACTGACCACTCGATCCTATATTTTAGTAGTCGCTTCGTGCGACCATGCCTAATATAGGTACGTTGCCTTAGGAACCTTTTACTAATCCGGAATCCTCACGAGGGAAGGGCAAAATGAACCTCCACATACCCCCCATGTCGTTGTCATATTCCATTCGACAACCACCCCCCACCCCACAAACAAACACAAATCTAAATGTCACTTAAATAAGAAGGACGTATGTGTATGCCTGCAGATTGGGCGAGGGAGAGGCTCGCTCCGAGGTCTTGCAGGGGTCAAGGCCAGGTGTTCGGGAACACGCCAGACTACTCCACGTACATACAGTGTACATTTAATCAATCTTAGCCGAGTAGACGTCATATCTACTTCAGTAATTGTGGGCAGATAAGTATTATCAACCGTGTGTATATTAGTATACTTAATTAATTCTGAATGCTTTGCAGATCGAACTAAGAATCCTGAATATTTGACACAGCGTCTTACGTTTACTTAAGGATTGACGGTGTATTTTTTCGGTTCATTGAGGTATGAATCGAAAAACCGATGTGCAAACTGTATGAATCCGCGTTCGGGAGAAGGCGGCTGTTTCAAATGTCATGGTCAGTTACCCCCAGATTCAAACATAAGTTCCCTAAGAACGGGAAGACACAGTTGAAAAAATGCTAGTTAGAAATGAAACCCAAAGACATGAAAGTTGTGGAACCGAGGCGAGGGGGAAAAATAGGCGAGCGAGCCTGCACGTTTGCTGTTTCATTCCTACTCGGCCTTCGGTCTCAAAGGCTTGTTTGGACAATGAATATGCATGAGTTTCCCTTAATGTCTAGGCACGACAATACACGTGAGCAGAAAGGGAATTCTCTCGACTGTCATAGTGGGATTCCCCGACATTCCGTAGTAATAAAAGTAGTGCGCCTCGGTGGGTGTGGCTTAATTTTTTACATACATTGGTAAATGAATGCAATAACACGTGACCAATTCAGCTAATCAGAATGCAGGAAATTCAATGACCACAACACACATTTAATTATTGTCGTATGAACTCAGGAACAGTGCTTGTGTCTCACGTGACCAGTCGGCCTCAGACCTGATGTTGCGTAATGTAGCTTGTGATATACATACCTGGTGTCACATACAACAATCAAATGGCTATTAGTTGATTTGTATGAGTTATTTGTATGACCTATATATGAAGGACGCTGTGGCTACCGAACTAACTGCAAAAATATGATTATTTTCAGTCAACGACGAATAGATACTTCGCAAGCCCTTCTTGAAAAACAAATGGTTCTTTCGGGAGGGCATGATGTGTTTTTGATTACCTAGTTTCGTGGATAAACCTTAATTCTAATTGTCTGCCGCTCCCACAAACGACCATCAGTTTAATGTTGGTGACAAATCTATATAAACATTGCTCTAAAGATTGACACATCACTACTAATGATATATCTCTGTTGCTATGATTAAAACGCCACTATCAATGATTTATCTCTGGTGTCTCTGGCTACTGTCATGCCACGCAAATGTCAATAATAAATCTCTGGTTACTGTTAGACACGCCACTGTCACTGATTTATCTCTGGTTACTGTTATACACGTCACTGTCACCGATATATCTATGGCTACTGTTAGACATGTCACTGTCACTGATATATCTATGGCTACTGCTATACACGTCACTGTCACCGATATATCTCTGGCTACTGTTAGACACGTCACTGTCACTGATATATCTATGGCTACTGTTAGACACGTCACTGTCACTGGTATATCTCTGGTTACTGTTAGACACGTCACTGTCACTGATATATCTCTGGCTACTGTTAGACACGTCACTGTCACTGGTATATCTCTGGCTACTGTTAGACACGTCACTGTCACTGATATATCTCTGGCTACTGTTTTACACGTCACTGTCACCCATATATCTCTGGTTACTGCCATGCCACGTCACTATCACTGATATATCTCTGGTGTCTCTGGTTACTGTTAGCCACGTGACTGTCACTGATATATTTCTGGTCACTGTCATGACAAGTCACTGTCACATATATATATCATGTCATGTTCGATATGGTTACTTGTGAAGCGGGACACCCCTGCTGCCATGAACGACAAGGCTGTGTGTCAGAATAACGCTGTCTTGATTAGCAGGGCTGTTAATTCCATGCCGGTCATGACTCAAACTGTCACGTTTGACATGACACTGCGCCCGGCTCAGCAGCTTCTGGTTGATATAACAACACTGTCACATATCACCTGGCGGACGCTTCTATACTACACTGCGACACTGCCAACAGCCCGGTGCACCCCTTCCAAGGTTTCACTCCCCTACGGTATGGGAGAGGCTGCCTTCATACAGGTGCTTCAAGTTATACATCTCCCTCAAACGGAATGCTCCATTAACACTGACTGTATTTATTCACCACCATACACTTAATTATTATTAATTACATTCTTATTACATTTGTTACAAACATCTAACCATCGTCAATTTGTGTTAGATCTATACACATTGTGGTCTCTTCTGCAG